TCAATGCATCAGCACAGTGTTACTGATCAAACTTCTTTAGTTTAAAGACATTTTATTCTACAATTCTACAATTATTATCTTTCACTCTGAACATCAATTATGTGAATAAGTAAATATTTTAAGTAACTATGTCATTTAATTTTAGTATTCCATATATATTGAATAAATTGATCAGATCCTTAACATATACATACTAAACTCATGTGGACATTCGTCTTGTGCATTAAGTGGTTTGTTTCCAAATAAAACAATTCTAAAATGTATTTGTAATATGAATATGATACATTACTTACTTGTAACAGTACATGAAATTTTTGTTTGTTTCATCACAAGAATCATGGTGGCACATTAGCTGGTGAGTTAGCAATATATTTCTAAGAAAGTGCTATCTCAGTCTTCTGGTTGGAGTGAAAAGATATATGCCTGTATACATGTTTACCCTTGCCAGATGTATTTTTTTCTGGTCAGCCACTCCCCATGACTTTAGTTCACCTTATGTGGTCTATTTTGCATATACAGATACTGCTGCAAACCTGTTTTTCCTTTGTATGCAATCAGTCTCACAACTACCTCAGCTGGTGTGTGTAAAAGGTCCCCTGTCATCATGAAACAAGAATTATAAAGGAAAGTCATATTTACAATTAAAAACATATCTGTCTTTCCTTGAATACTCTTTGTCTAAGTGCCAGGAATTGTCAGTGTCATAAAAATTTAAAAAAAAAGATTTTCATAAAGACTTTTCTTAGATAGACCTAAGTCAAACCATGAAAAATGATAACATTATAAAGAAAATATCGGACTGCATGCCGCTCAACGTGAAGGGCCAAAAGTCAACAATGGCCGTTTCTGGTAGTTGTGTGGCGAGAAGTTTGGCCGAAACTTTTTAAACTCGCGGTATTTTCTTTTTGAGGTAAATAAACTACTGAAAGTTTTAATATTGAGCAAGCTGAGCATTTATGCATGTCAAAAGTAATTTTAATGTTACACAAATCCTTCTTGGTAACTAGATATGGCGAGTTTTGTTTGTGGGTGTCCTTATGCTATTCGCCTGTCGAACTGGTTCGCCAGTAGCAACACAGCTAGTGACAAGCGTTGAGAGCTTTAAGTAACACCAAGGACATGTTAAGTAACACCAAGGACATATTAAGTAACACCAAGGACATATTAAATAACACGAAGGACGTTTTGAAACACCAAGGACGTTTTGTAACACCAAGGTGAGTGAGTATGGTTTTACGCCGCTTTTAGCAATATTCCAGCAATATCACGGCGGGGGACACCAGAAATGGGCTTCACACATTGTACCCATGTCGGGAATCGAACCCGGGTCTTCGGCGTGACGAGCGAACGCTTTAACCACTAGGCTACCCGACCGCCCTGTAACACCAAGGACATGTTAAGTAACACCAAGGACGTTTTGTAACACCAAGGACATGTTAAGTAACACGAAGGACATGTTAAGTAACACCAAGGACGTTTTGTAACACCAAGGACATGTTAAGTAACACCAAGGACATGTTAAGTAACACCAAGGACATGTTAAGTAACACCAAGGACATGTTAAATAACACGAAGGAAGTTTTGTAACACCAAGGACATGTTAAGTAACACCAAGGACGTTTTGGAAATATAAATAAAATTGGTTATAGTTTAATACTAAAAAAAGTATCCATGCAGTGAAAGCATTTTCGGATTTCGGATTGCGTCAATAATACGATTACTACTCACTTGTTGTCATCCACGCTTTCTGGTATAACCCTACACTTGTGTATTTATCGTCATTCACTTGATGCTCAGTTAATGAATTTATTACAGGTACAATTAGTGGTAGCACCACTTAGATTACCTGACAAAGGTTCCCATTCGGCATTTATTGTGTCTGGGGTAATTATTCAATCTAAATCCAGGTTTGAAGTGAGGTGAAATGTGTGTTATGTAATATGCACGTGGCAGCCCAGCAAGAGGTGAATGATCAGTTCATTTACTTTTTTGTAAATCAACTGATCGTTCCTAGTCATCAAAGGATTAACAGAAAATACGTTGATTGATTAATCACTGTTATCTTGCACAGTGGATATGTCAAAAGGGAGTGTTTACATGTCTAGGTTTACTAAAACAAAGGGAATACACTCATATCCTGGCGTGAAGTGTCGATGTCGTATGTTGTGGTTAACTAATAATACGTTGATTGATTGCTCATTGTTATCTATCACTCAATGGATTTTTTAGGAACCGTGGACGTTATGAAAATAGTGGTCACGTGGGCTTTCTCAGCCGACCCTTGAGACTTGACACCTATGTGAAACACCTGAAACAATCTAAGTGATCAGTTGAGAAAGGAACACGGGTTATAATATCCCGAAACGATATCTATCTTTAAAAATATTTGATTGTTACAGAGACACGTGACATCGAATAAGTTTCTTTGTACAGCTGCAGACGAGTGGGATATTGTTTGTTTGTGTGGATATTCACGGATACATTCCTCGAACAAGGAAGCTGCCCAAAATTTATACACATAAATTTGGTAGGTTGTAATTATGGTATTTGCATTTGTTTTCCTTCATTCGCTGTAGCATTGAACCGATTCGTTCTTGTTCCTCTACGTCTTGGTTGGGAAATTCTTCAGATTGACTAAAATTAATAAAGACGATCAAAAGGGCCTAACAACATCACAACAGATTATTATGTTGGATTAGAAGCCAAACAACATAAAAATGTACTTTTCAACGTAACATTTTCAGTCTCTTGGTGATGACATTAAACATCAAAATGTTTGGAATTTGTTATCATAATAATACAGATGGAAATGTTGTTCAGTCACTATGTAAAATAACTGAATATTTAGGCGTTTAATAAAATTGAAAATGTTACACATTTTGACAGTAAAAAAATATACACACTATAAAAAAAAGCAATGCTCAGGTGAAATATTTACTTTGTGTTGCAAGTCAAAATATTGTAAACGAAAATCGCAAAATTACCAAGCAAGTGACTTATCAAAATTTCGTCACCATTACTGATGCTACCCACAAAGATACCTACATTTCCTTATTATCTCGAAAACTGTATTTCATTTTGTTGATCAATGTGACCATACGCCCTTATTACTACCCATAAGAGTGACTAATGCGCTTACGAATGGCACAGCAGAGGTCGCCAACTAGTCTAGATTTCTGCTATACATCCGGGTACTCACTGGGAAAAAACAATAACAAAGGCAACAACCAGTCCCGGGGAATTGCATTAGATCAGTGCCCCTTTAAGTAAGGATGTTTTGTAGCAGGAATTGATATAAGAGAGCATTCATTTACCTTCTTTCTACATAAAGTCGGATTACTCTTACACCTAATTAAGCAAATGGTAATACCAAGGACAGGAACCTTTTAGTCAGGCATGCTTTGCTTATTTTTTATCATTTAAAGATAGAAACATGGAGGAATGTATGTTTATTTTAAAGATTCTAATCCCATTAATAAAATAACAACATAAAAACTCATGTATGAGACATAAAAATTGAAACACGTTTACTGTAAAAAGCATTATATTGTGTCAGTGTTATTTCAACAATTTCAGAGTATGAACCACTACAAGCAAAAAAAGCACTGACAAGGCAAATCCTGATGATGTATTTGAACTTGGTTCCCCACTGAAATATTAGGGATGAAAGTTAAGGGCTATCTCAAACTTTATGAAAGATAGATATTACTGACATAAAAAGGATACATATTTTGATAATGGCCCTACAATTTTCTGTGCCATTCTATACTAAAGGAAAAAACTAACTGTGCTTCAAATAAAGACCATTCATATAAATATTTTATCATAACAAATTCATTGAAAAAATACATACCAATACCCATACAGAGATACACACCCTTAAAGATGAGTGGTGTAATGACTCAATTAACAATGTCAATATCAAATGTGACCACCATTTGCGTTGATACAGGCGAGGCAGAGGCAGCGAATTGACACCAGATGACTTAAAACAGCCTCGAGGATGTTGTTCCAAATGTTAACCGAAGATTGGCCCAACTGACCTAGCTTTACTGGTTGGTTCTGCTCCTATCGTAGCCATTGTTCCATCCATCTCATCCAAGACATGTTCTATTGGGGGAGAGGTCTGGACAAACAGCTGGCCATGGCAGTACAGCAATGGTCTGCGGCCTTGAAAGATCACTGACAACACATGCAACATGTGCGCAGACTTTCATCTTGCTACATAGTGACGTTACGTCCCTGCATTTGCACAAAGATCTCGAACAATGTTGTCTCGGTGTATGCCATTCAAATTGCCAATAACAATGAAGAGTTGTGTTCTCCCATGAGTTGTAATGTCACCCCACACCTTTACCACTTACACCCCTTTCATTGGGTCACACAAGCATCACTAAAACATTCTCCTGGATGCCTATAGAACCTTTCACAGCCACCAGAGCAGACCAGATGAAAACTGGACTCATCTGTAAACATATACTGTGAGAGTCTTGTCTATCTGAAACGGCTCACAGTCTGGATGTTTGTTGGGAGCATGACACTCATGGACGTGTTTTTTTAATGTGAACAGCACACAATGATTGTTTAGCTATCAGGTGATCATAAAACCACTTTTGTTTAACCGTCAATGATGCTTACGCAATGCCACGGCTTGCTAAAAGTCAATATCTACGTGCCTTAGGTATGCTCTAAGCAGGAATGCCAGGCATTTTAATGTACATCAAAACTCAATATCATCTCTTTGGAGACGATACCTACAGCAGTGCAACACTCATAACGTGCCACGGGCCGGTTGTCCACATGCGACAACCATATTCAGTTGGTGCATCTACAGAATGTACTGTGAGATGAGCTAAAAGGTTACATGTCTGCAATATGAGCATGTTGAGAAAGAATATTTTCATTTACTTATGACTTATTTGACTTACATTTGTCCTAAAAAGGCATTAATGACACCTTCCCTTTCAGAACAAAAGTGTTTAGAAAGAGAATCTTTTCACCTGTATCTGTTTCTTCAACTCACTCTGTCTCTGAACATCCATTGACACAGCCAGAAATACAGGGTCTCTAAAAACAGAGTTAGAGAGAAAATTTGAGAAAAGTGTTGGAATCACATACAAAACTAGAAAGATGTTTGCATTTCATGCAAAAACAGAAGCAGCCACAGCTCCACAATATCCTGAATGCCCCAAAACTTTCCCACCAGGAACATCCATCCTTATCTCAAATCAAGTGATAGCTGACCTCAAGGGTAATTACCCATATTCATCTTCAATCCCTTACATTTTCCAATGCAGTACTTTGTCCTATGCCTCTGACAAGTTACAAGCAGCATTTGAAAAGCATCTCTTCCAGTTTGGGAAGAAATATGCCAAATGCAGTTCAACCAAGTCTCATGCCTGTAGCTACTTAATAACAATTAAGGTCATCAGCACTTATGGTTCAATGACATCACTGAAGAAAACATATGCCCATATGCCCAGAGAGTTCTATTTTTATCGCTACCCAAAAAAGAAAAATGGGTTTTTCAGAATAAAAACGATGTTTTATTGGTCTGTTTTCAGTCGTACAAATGGGTATCTCTCATACCCTCACTTCTAGTCGCACGTTTAAAAGGAAGCCAGAAGCTGGAATGTAAACATTAAACTTGTTTCCGTCCGGTTGCGCACGCACCTCCCTATGACATGTCACAAATCTTGAAGAATAGGCCATCATTCAGGACTGGACTGGATTACTTCCCTGTGGGGATGGCTGGGTAGGAACGTATGACTGAAAACAGACCAATAAAACATCGTTTTCATTCTGAAAAACCCATGTTTTAGTCTGTTTTCAGTCGTACAAATCGGTAGAATTCGACGGAACACTGGAAGGAGGGTCGGGAAAGTAATCAGGAAGTGACCTCTTTCACGTCGAATGTACCAAGTTCCTCACCCCTGTAGTGACAATAGAACATTCAACCAGATGCACGGACGAGACAAGTTGTTTATCACGAACGCACACAACTAATTATCGATGTGACAGGACAACTGCACACGTCAGTTGAACTGCGATCGAAGTGTGGTCGACGTATAGTTTAGTTACAGAGCAACTCGCAGTATACAAGGTAACTAAAACAACATGGTTAATGCTCTTCGACCCACAAGTAACTATCGATGCGACAGGACAACTGCACACGTCAGTTGAACTGCGATCGAAGTGTGGTCGGCGCATAATTTAGTTACAGAGCAACTCGCAGTATACAAGGTAACTAAAAAATACGAGCAGTACTATAAAGTATGGGAAGACGATGCATACACTGAATAACCATAATAAAAAAGCCGAAGTACTGCACACAACAAAAAACAATAAGAATGCGTACATTCACCAACAGCTTTTATTGTAACATGTTATATGGCACGAAGTGTCGAGCAAAAAGTCCAAAGTGAATAAAGCACAAATTCACTGTCTTTTCTGAGAGATCTGTTGTGCCACCACGAGTGGACCAAACTGTTTGAGTCCTTCAACATCTTCTGTTGAGATATCTCTGAGATAATGCTAAGCAAACACTGAAGTAGATCTCCAAAAGCAGCCCTCCATAATAGCTTGCAGCGAACAATTACTGTGGAGTGCTAATGTTGAAGCTATGGCTCAAACTTCATGCGGATGAGAGTAGGTAGTAGTCCTTGCGTTTCGTAAGCTCTGAGAATTACCGCTCTCAACCAAAAGGAGAGAGTATTATGTGTAATCTCTTTCTTTGCATTGGTTGAGAGCGGTATGAACAGCCTTCGAAAATGTTGTTGTCGCTGTTTAGATTGCTGCAGGTAAATACGAAGCGCACGAACTGGGCACAGGGTGAGATCAGCGTGATCATGAGGGCCCATAATGGCAGACAAGGAAGGAATGTGGAACATTCTCGAATCTTGGCCAGGAAGTTGATTTTTCGCTAAAAAATCCCACCTGAGACCAAGATGGACGTTACCATGGTTACGCTGATCGAACCTAATCCGACTGACGTCAATGGCATGTATTTCCGATACTCTCGCTGCCGTAGCCAGCGAGATAAGGAAACCGTTTTCAGAGACAATAAGTCGAACGCGACCTGATCTAGAGGCTCGTAAGTCTGACTAGACAGGTTTCGCAGAACGACATCGAGGTCCCAGGCCAGCGGTCGGTATTTACGTGACTGATCTTCAACCATGAAAGCACGTAGAATCTTCTGCAACTCCTGTACTTTAGTGAGCTTGTCTCCCGTAGGAGACGGCACCATTGAAGCCAAAGCTGCCAGATAAATCGAGATCGTCGACCCTTTCAGATGCTGAAATGACCAGAGATAGACTAGGAACTCCCCCACCTGGTCTAACGAGGTCTTAAGCAAACCCAGGCGTGAAGCTGGAAGTTCTTTATCCCCGGATGCAAGTCATCGGTGTGAGGATGAAGAAGGAGGTCGTCTCGATCTGGCAACGGGAACGGTCACTGATCGATGATCTGAAGAAGTTCCGGGAACCACGTTCTGGCCGGCCAATAAGGCGCGACCAAAAGCAGACGTAGGTTGGCTGTTTGACGAACTTTCTCAAGTAACGATGGTAACAGCACCGTTGGCGGAAATGCATAAGCGTCTAGACCCTCCCGCGATATCACTAGAGCGTCATGGTCCCATGCCCGTGGGTCTGGAACCGGCGGCACGAATCGAGGGAAGCGGTTGTTGTACCAGGTTGCGAAGAGATCTACTTGGGGCAACCAGAGTCGATCTGTCAGCAGATGAAAGACTGTCAGATGGATCATCCACTCCGTGGGAGACGGCCTCGATGGTCTCGACAGGGCATCGGCTATCACATTCTTGGCCCCCGGGATGTCCAAGTCGTCGACCTAAATGAACCTGAATGTCTGGTCCAAAAGGGCCGACGACCAAGTGGTTCCCTGTTTGTTGATGCAGTGGACGACTGTGGAGTTGTCAGACTGTATCATCAGCCGTTTCCGACGGAGTCGAAGTTTCCAGAATTTCGACCGCCTGAATCACTACTTCCATCTCGAAGCAGTTGAGGACCTTTTCTTCTGGCGACCACAGCCGGGCCGCTTGGTCGTCCCCGAAGTCAATCCCCAGCCTTCCAATGATGCATATACGAATAGGTGTAGTATGAACGGAGGCTCGCTCATAAAGACGCCTTCGCAAACGTTCGACGGCTGGAGCCACCACTCCAGATGACAACGTAGCTGCACTGGAAGAGGAACCAGGAGATTGGGAAACTCCAGGTGGGGGTACAGCAATCTCTGCAGCGGACGAAGTTGAAGACGACCTCGGCGAGTTAGGTCTTGGGCCGATGTCAACAGACCGAGGACTTCCTGACACGTGTGCACCGACGTTGGGGCATGTAGAAGTCTCGGAACGCTGCTGACAATCTTGTCCCAACGGTCTTGAGGTACCTTGACCAGATTGACCCCCGTCTGGAAGCGTATCCCGATGTACTGTAGATCCAGAGTTGGTGCCAAGTCCGACTTTTGAAGGTTGACGATCCACCCGAGGTAACGTAGTAGACTCAGGGTGGTCACTAACTCTCCTTGAAGGGCTCCTGTGAATTGGTGAGCTTGGAGCCTGTCGTCTAGGTAGAAGGCAACCCTGATCGCCTGCTGATGGAGACATTCTACGACCGTCTTCATGATCTGTGTGAAAATGCACGGGGCCGTAGAATTTCCAAACGGGAGGGCTGCCCACTGGTAATGAATACCTTGGTATACGAATCGGAGGTACTTCTAGAACTCGGAAGCTATTGGTTCATGGAGATACGCGTCCTGAAGGTCTATCGAGACGAGATAGTCGTTTGGTAATATCATCCGACGCAGAGAGCTGAGGGATATCATGGTGAATGTGTCAGGTTGTTGGAGGTACCGTATTTTCTTGAGTATAGTGCGCACGTTTTTTCCAAAATACACAGCTGTGTAGAAGGGGGTGCGCATTATACACGAATTATGAGTTTGGATGGTTTTTTTCCCCCATGGAAAGACATTACCGTGAGCACAAAAAAAACGGAAATACCATGTCAACAAATCAATACTGAAGTACGCAAATTAATCATGCAATTACACTGTCTGGCTATAAAAAGTGTTCTTGGTATATCTGGACTTATGTTTGTAACTTAATCCATTAATTTTTATTCAAAATTCCTTTAAATATTGTTTTTATTAATTTCGGCCAGAAGATCGCACAACTCACCGTTATTAGGAACCACGGTCAGAATACCGCTATTGACGCCTTGAAACAAACTTTAGTTGACAGGGAATGGATACATATATCATAAATGCCATACTTTGACTCGTTAGAGTCATATTTGTTTTTGTTTGACGATTCTATGTCAACATGAAATTCTCGCGATCACGCGATCACATGCACGTGAGGCTTGACGGTGACTGGTCAGACTGGTTCCATGTAAAAAATAATACCCGGGGATCGTGATCAGCTGCTTTGCTTAGGGTTATTATTATTTTAAATATGTCTAGTAAAGGCTGCATCTAAATAAACAAGATATTGGAATATATTATTCCTGATAAAAAAAATAGTTTCAGATACAATTGTTGCCGATCCTTGCATTAAAAATCCTGTAAAGTTATATCATTGGGTGTGTCTTGACCGAAGCACCGGTCGATTCCAAGAAAACGTGTGTACAGCTGATTGCTGTTCCGGCTTAGTTTACGAGAAAATACACAAGGTAATCATAATCCCTGGATATAAAACAATGCCTAGCAGAACAATAAATACTATTTAAACGGTAAATCAACATGTCTGGTGATTTTTTTTATATCTCAAATTCACCCGTTCGTTTGCCGGACTTCGCTGAAGGGGTACGGTGTAATTTTTTTCCGCGCTTGGTATTCGAATTATTTTTTTCTCCAAAATACTGAACCCGCTAGAGGGGGTTGCGCATTATACATGGGTGCACACTATACTCAAGAAAATACGGTATGTTGCGTTTTTGTGATTGAAAATAAGCCGCATCTTTGTGGAGTTTTTCTTGGGTACTAGAAAGATGGGCGAGTAGCACCCCTGCGATGGTGCCGATGTCCCTAGGCGAAGTACTGCCGCCTTTTCCACCAAC